CTGATTAGGTAAACCTGTCTGAAAAGTAAATGGTTTAAATAAAGTAGATAGGAATTTCTAGCAATAGTTTTATTAGTCTCAAGATATTTTATTAACCTGAGACTTTAAAGCTAAGTTAAATAGTGAAAATTCTTTGAATATATAGGTCATGCTACTGAAATATTAATTACTGAATTTAGAAGCAATTTTGGCTTCTTAGTGAAGACCAAAGAGTTGTGGGACTAACACATCCATGTGTCACCTAGAAAACTGTACTAAAAAGAAGCACATGTTCTGAAAGTTAGGAATATTTGTCAGGCTTCCAATCCAAGGACAGACACTGGTCTAACAGTTTTTACAACTGCTTGCAATTGGAAATTAAGGATTTAAGTGTTGAATTTATGAATTTAAAGCTAATGGGAATAAGGGAAACAGCTCTCTGTAAAGAAAGTAAGATGTATGTTTTGAAAAATGGAGAAGGATTAAGGAATGGAGATATATTTGCTGAGGATAAAGAAGAAATCTGTCTTAGGATGAAGTATACTTTTTGAATGAGATGAAGGAAATATATTAAAATGTGAAAAAAAGAGGAATGTGTAGAAGGTTTGCGAGAAAGGAATCTTCTTTGGGAAAGAAACTATATCTGGTCAAGTTGGATAAGAGCAAATGAACTGTCATGAGGATTTAAGATTAAGCTTTAATATCAGAAGTGTACTTAAGTAAACAAACTTTATTTCTTTCATCTGCTACAAGGACAAAAGTATTCCTAAACTGCAGTCAGTTTTTAATAAGAGATTGTAAACTGTTTAAGTAATCTGAAGATCTAATGCTTCAAATGAGTTATCTTTACATTAGGCCCTGTGATTAAGAGAAACCTAGACTTCTATGTATTAAGAACTGAATCGGGTTGGGAGTCATATAAAATTACTGTTTGCCTTTGAAGTCTTTCAGTGTCACTTCAGTTAAAAGGGTAATTTAAATATTGTTTCATAATCTATGGAAGTATTTTATTTATTTATTTATTTATTTATTTTATTTTTATATTCCCCATACAATTGCAACTCCCTGATTTTGACCCCAAACCCTCCTTTCCCTGCCCTCCCCCATAGTGTGTCTCTGGTTCATAGTTGTTTGTTTATTTTGATTTTTTCTTTCTTATAGTTATTATTTTTCCAGGTCCCTTATTTAAGTTTTCTAGATTCCTGCTATGAGTGAGACCATCCGGTATTTTTCCTTTTATTTTTGGCTTATTTCGCTGAGCATGATCCCTTCCAGCTCCATCCATGTTGCTGCAAATGGCATGAGTTTATCCTTTTTGATTGCTGAGTAGTGTTCCACAGTGTATATGTACCACATCTTCTTGATCCAGTCATCTATTTTTGGGCATTTGGGCTGTTTCCAAAGCTTAGCTATTGTAAACAGTGCTGCTATAAACATAGGGGTGCAGGTGCTCTTTGGAATTGATGTTTCTGTGTCCTTTGGGTAAATACCTAGGAGTGGAATTGCTGGATCATATGGAAGCTCTATCTTTAGTAGGTTGAGGAATCTCCACCCAGCTTTCTATGGAAGTGTTTTAAACATTTGATACTTTTTGACAAAATTCCTCCCCTCCCAAAGAAACCAGAATTCTAATAATTTTAATTTAATTTAATTTTTAAAAAATTTTTAAAACTTTTTTTTAAAGATTTATTTATTTATGCATACAAGAACTGGGGTATAGGCCAGAGGAGTGGGAGTGGGGGCGGTGAGAGGATTCACCAGAGACAGAGTAGGGAATAGAACAGGCAGATTGACTGAAATACACTGCTGAGGGAGCAGCGGGGAGATAGGAGAGGTCTGCTGCACCATGTGGGCTGCTCCCTGGACGGCTGGGGGATCGAACTCATGCTGCAGTGGCTGTGGATAGCTTAATAGGTCTTAACCCCTTGCACCACCAGAGGCCATAATTTTAATTTTAATCTTATAAAAATTGTCCTCTGCCATTTTGAAAGAGGTTAAAACAAATTAGACTATTTGATATGTTGAAATTTCATGGGGAGTATCCTCCAATAAGGCATAATATTAACCTTTATAAATATATTTATGTGAAATTAATAGGGGCATTCCAAAGTTATATGAAATTCCTAAAAATCTGATATGTCATTCTACTTATTATTCTAAACTATTGTATGCCACAAAATTGTGCAAATTTCCTTATAAATTGCTTTATAATCAAATCTTTAATTATGATCATTTTAAAGTCTTTTGTCATTTATAGAAGCTATATTTACTCTGAAATTTTGCCTTCATAATGCTTTACAGGAAAGGGCTTTGACATACACTCTGGTATATAGGTTTATCATGAAACTGAACTAGATAAGAGATTTCAGAGCTTATGGAAAAAACTGGCTCAAAAGTAGTAACAAAGATAAAAAAATTAACTACATGGGGCTGAATGCACTAATGAGAATGAGAACTATTTTAAATGACTTTTTGTTTGAGACATACTGGTTCTTCTTTGTCTTGCTTTTTCCAAATTGAAGAAAGCTTTTTCTCCCTTTGTTTAAAAGCTGACTTTGACCTGTAGTAATTTGGTAAATTACACCTTTTGTGAGCAGAACTGAAACGGATGCTTTTTTTCTCTCCCTGGTATCATGGGAATGTGAAAGCTTTTAGAAAGTATTCTTATTTTCACACGATTATTTGCATAAACCCTACACAAATCTTTTGGTTTTATTAGCATATCTTTGATTGAAATGTAATATTTGAGATCTGACCAATTTTCAAAAGAATGATTGAACTTATTGAGACAACAAAGAAAAATCAGCCTGATACCCTACTTAAAGGGTTCCAGACAGTCTACCAGGAGAGTGATGAAAAGTCACTTTTGGCAGCTTTAGACATTTTGGGGACCTCAAGAAGAGAGGGATTGATCCAAAGATGTGGGGACTGAATGTGGAGTCTGATATTGAGACCTTGGCATGCTTCTTGAGTGCTGAGGCTCTTAAAAGCTCAGTTTGAGGCCTCCCTGATGGCGCAGGCGGTTGAGTGCAGCATTGTGAAGCTGTCTGCAGCCTCTGCAACGCGGGTTCAATCCCGGCCAGCTAGGTAGATACCCACATGGTGAGGCAGACCTCTCCTGTCTCTCTTGCTGCTCCCCTCAAGCAGTGTATTTCAGTCATTCTGCCTGTTCTGTTCCCTGCTATATCTCTGGTGAATCCTCTCACCCCTCCTCACATCTGGCCTGTACCCCAGTTCTTGTATGCATGAATAAATAAATCTTTTAAAAAAAAAAGCTCAGTTTGAGATTCCTTATGAAAAAGTCCAGCAATGAGACTATATGACTAAATTATTATTCCCATAGTACTTGTGCAAATAACAGGTCAAATTTACTGAAGCTCGACTTAATCTGCAAACAAATAATTTTATTGTGATTATTTGGTAAAACTGGGGTGAAGGTCAAGGGAAAACTAGTCCTAGTTACTAGTCCTCTTGTCATTTTGGAGGTTTTAGCTTTTTACTTGTAAAATAGATTAGATCCTGAACTTTTCTTTTATCTGGCTATGACTCTCCAAACTAGTATTTCCAGTTCTTTCCCCCATTCTTTTTGACTTGAAATTACAAGAACTAATAATGTCCTTTTTTCTGAAGCTATGTAAGCTGGAGATGGGGAGCTTCACTTAAGTGCCAGAGAAATCACAATGACTATATAGATATTTCTTATAAGTGCTACTCTACTCAGAAGAGTAAAGTATTTAATGACATCAAATACAACTTCCTGCTGTCGTGTCATCTGAAGATGCTTTGAGACTGACACCTAGAAATCTCCACTGGCTGCCTTTAGAACTCCCAACTAGATTTTTGATATATTTCAATAATTAACCTTTTCCTTTTGTTTTCATAAAAATGCCACTTGTTATTATAGGTACACAATTAGAATTATCTTAGGAGCTCACTTACAGTCTCACTTCCAGGAATTGGGCATATTTGTTTAACTATACTGAACTATTCTCAAGACAAAGAGATGTTCCATGGGAAAAACTGTAGGATTGGCCTCCCCCCAAATGTCCCAAGATTGAGAGTAAGTCTTTTCCAATATGTCCGATCTTAGTATGTAGACCTAAGGTTAATCGAGGTCTGTGGGTCTTGGGAGAAACTATTACCATTATTTAAAGAATTCAGGTAACATACATTTAGGGACATCTTCAGAAACAGCCTTTTTATTGGAGAAACCCATCTTATGACAGGCAAACATTCAGAGGCAGGGTTCTGTCATGATGTCATCGCCTTTTTGTCATGTGAAATGCCCTCCACTCTCCTTGATGCCCTTAAGACTTCTAGCACAGGACACAAACCCTTGGTTTTTCCTATTCACTTTATAACTTGCAGCTTGTATGTTCTCCATACATATGGAATTAAATTTGGTCCTTTTCTACTTACTACTCTATCTGATGTTTGTTTGCTTGTCTAGCCACAGAAAATCCCAGAGGGGTGGAGGAATATATTCCCCTGACCCTTGATATATTTAATTTTTTATTGCTAATAGTATTTGCTTATATTTTTAAGGCCTCATTCTTAACAATTATTATGGAATAATAATTGATGAGTTTGCTTTTCTAGTGTACAAAGTAACCATGAAGTTTATACTCAGAAAAATAGGAATGATTTTCCTTCTGAAGAATGAAAATCTATAAAACAGAACTTTTTGCTTAAAGAAAAATTTAGGGGTAAAAGTAAAGAAATAATTGTTTCAGATTTCCAATTGTTCTCTGTTGTAGATATCATTCATCACTCATTCTTTCGGGCAATATTGCAACAAAGTACTGCTAAAATATATATAAATGTAAAAATATTAATGTGTACATACACAAATTCTTATATTTAAAAGCAATTAAGTAAAAATGTCTCAGCCAAAAGCACAACACATACATGAAAGGAATTCACCAAGACTCAAGTGAAAGGGTGTCAGGAATATGGTAAAGATGCGGGAAAGCCTGGCCCCCAAAGGTGAGCACCCACACAGGTGAACTTGCATGCCTCACCCTACAGTTGAGCAGCGTATACAGGACGTGGTCAGGGGTGGTCTGGGCTCTCCACTGCAGGACTTCTGACAGGAACAGGAACTGCAACAAAGCATAGTCATTAGCATAGGATCATCCCAATTTAGGGGGGAGGGCTAATCTCATTAGGGGCATGGGTAGAGTCAGTGCTTTTAGGATGCTTCTCCACTGAGGAATGAGGACACCCCTCACAAATACAGTAACCAAGTGCTTGCAGTGTTTTTCCTGCAGTAGGATTCATTCCATGGGATTTAGGGTCACAGGTTTAAGGGTTGGTGTTGTATTCCTGATGAGAGATGTTTTCTAAATTTGCCTAAGGTTAGTGGGAATGCCGTTCCCTTATAGACTGAGTGGCCAACACAGACAATCCCTTCTCCTGGGATTTCAGAAGTTGCAATTGTGATTTCTGTGGGCTGTCATGGCAAAATCAGATCTATCCTGTTTTTAAAAATGGAATTAATTTTTAAATTGTTGTGTTTAGAATGGCAATCCCCTGATAGTATTGCAAATAAACAGATTATATGTATCCTACTGTAGTAAAAACATCAGCTCTATTTCACACTAGGACACAGAGCTAGTGTTAGGATATAGGAAACACCCACGTACAACCCGTAATGCATTTGGCTCACAGAAATGTACTATGAGGGGGCAACATGGTGATGAAGTGATTTCAGGGAACATGTTACTGTTATCAATTTGGCAATACTTCAAATGATTGGTTTTGACACCTTTCCTAGTGGCTCACATAGATTAGGGCAACTTTTCTGTGAACTGTAGGAGACTCAAGGCTGATGGTTATAATGGGGTCACATGGCACTGCAGTGGTGGGAGCCAGAGGATTTCTCTTGCAGCTCCAAAAATTTCCTTGAGGAGCTCAAGCTCCCAAAACTGGGATTTGAACCGATGTTTTCTTAAATTCCAACAACCAGAGGACTGAGGTCCAACAACAAGGTTGCTCTGAGTCAGTCTGGCTTCAAGTAAGAGAGCCCAGAGCTTTGGAGACACAGGACAGGGACATCCAGACATGTCTAAACATGGGGCCCCTAATACATACAGTCTTCTCATAAAATAAATGGGTGTCTCTTCCAGGAGCAAGATGGCCGGTAAGAGGAAGACATCATCAAAGGCTAAAGGTCAATATGGAGTTGGTTTGGCAGGAATGAAAGCAGGATTTGGGCACCTTTGCAACACAGTTTCTGGGCGGCAGTGAAAGAACCCCAGCTCTCACCTTGCGGGCCTGGTCATTGTCTTCTATCTGACCCAGGTCCCTGCCGCTGGCCTGTGCAATCCTCTTCCCAGACACCAGGTTCCCCACCATCACAGAGGCGGGGCCAATTTCTGGAAAGAAAGTGGCACACACATGAGGAGAACCAAGTGAGAGGCCTGACAACCTGATTCCCCACATGGTGAGGAGCTCACTCTGGGGAATCCTGTGAAAGACTCACTTCGATAAATCTTATTAGAACAGGGTTTCAAAGAAGGCATCAGAGAGGAGACAATGTAAATGTCAATAAGCTCTAAAGAAGGGCACACAGAATGTGCCCTTACACCAAATTCCCCTCCTGTGTTCTCCTAAGCCCACTGCCTTTATTTTCCAGTAGAGGCGTGCTGAAATTTATTCTTGTTAGTTGATTTTAAAAAGATAATGCAGGAGACAAAAAGAATCTAGACATGAGCACTTGGCTGCTAAGGAGAATCCTGCATTGTGTCTGCGTCCTGATACCCACTGGGGGACGAGGGACTACACATCCCTGTAACACCTCGTGGGATAGATTTGGGAATCATACTGTCAAAGGGGTAGGATTCAGGAGGCTTATCTCTGATTGCACTGACTGGAAAGTTTTAGGCATCCTGCCAGGCCCACAGAAAGTGGAAGAATAAATCAAAGGCCCCTGGCAAGTTCCTTTTACTCCATTGTTACTCACTTGATCACTGAGGCTTTTCTAGAGTTCATGAAACATTTCACAGTAAAAAGCAGAAATGATCGGTTCTGATAGTTTTCCTTTTCTTTTTTAATGAAAGAAAGAAGTTTCTGAAAGAACTGCAGAAACTCTTTTCAACATTTCCAACTGCAAGAAACCCTAGACACCCTCCAGGTTTCTCAGAATAGCATCATTCACACTTTCTTCTCATTAAACCTTTCATTTATACCAAGACATTTAACAGAGAAAGGCTCCAAGTTCCAGGAGACTATACCATTGTGAGTGTGAGTGTGTGGGAAAATGGAGCAGGAGAAGTGAATGAGGGAATAAAGGAATGTTCACCAAAAGAACTGCAATATAAAATGACAAAAATGATGGGACCAGTTTGTATTTAATCATTGGTTTAATAAAATACAAGTCAAAAGTCAAATTCACGTTACATTTTTGATGAAGGTCAAGGTATGTGTTTGTAAGTAAGAGTAAGTGTATTATTGCACATGAAGAGTTGTGTGTCTCTAGTCAAAGGTTTTAAGATTCAGTTTGGGCAGGGCTTAATTGTACATCATTACCATGACAACTACCTTAACAATCACCTGCTTCCTAGCAGAATGAGGTGCAGGGGGCTGGCTGTCCAATTGGGACAGAGTCGCCCATTCCTACAGGTCCGTGGTCATCCAGAATGTGGTTTGCCCTAAAATACTGAACCTATCTCAACTCTCTGAAAGATAGCGGGGCTTTGCTCTGAAATTTGGAGAAGGGCCTGAAACACAGATTTCTGGGTTTCTGTCGCTTGTGTCTTTGGTTTCAGAGATTCGTAAACTCTTTGGTTTTAGGGATTTGAGGCTGGTTTCAACATGATCATAGAATGTGCCATGTACTCAGCTGAATCGTGTTTGAATTCCGAGTGTGGTAGTTTGGGGTCAACCAAATTCCTTAGCTCTTACTGAAGAAACTGAAAGAGGAAAAGTCTTTTTACACTGAACAAAAGACAATGACCAGCATGACTGGGACCGGACGGGCTGCTGGTGGGTGTAGCATGTTGGCTGCTAGCCCTTCCTTCTATCTTCAGTACCTAGGGACGGGGTGTCTTCTTGGTGAGTTAGGGCCAGCCAGGAAGGTTTGTGTAAGAGGCCAGTTTGTCAAATGGCCTAAATTGCTTTGAAGACTTTGCCACAATGATTTTAAGAATTCAAACTCGTCTAGGGAAAGCACCATTTTGAGGGGAATTAGGTATTCACAGCATCTCACTTTTTGCTTCTCTGTCACTGAGTCAGGCCTCTCCTTATTACAAGCTTATTTCTTCTGGTCTTCTCTGAGAGGGAAGCTTGGGCCCTCCCCACATAGCCATGGGAATTATTTTTCCCTAATGTTTCTGGGAGGCAGGAGGCTTCCTGCTGCTTTTCATTTACAAAATCTGTCCTTACTGAGAACCAGGGCACTCTCGCCTGTGTCTAATAAAGTGGATGTGAGCTCCTACAGCCTCAGGACTGAAAATATAGGGGTGAGATGAACCCAAAAATAGGCATTAGATTTCATGTTTCCAGGGGCTCGGAAACTGCAGTCCAGATGATCCAGATGTTCCCCACACCCTGCTCTGAGTGGATTCTGTCTCCCTGAGAACTGCTGCATTCCATTTCTCCCTTGGGGAGAGAAACAGCACTTGTGAGGAGCAGGTTCACTTCTCAGGAGTGTGTGACCATGGCGACCGGCAGAGGAGGTGTCTGAGAACTGTCTCTGTTTCTAAGGCCTGGTTATGTGTTCCTACAGCCCATGGCTCAGAGCAGATCAGGGACTCTGCACCCCCAAGAGACGTACCTGGTTGCTTCTGTCGAGGTTTGGGCAGGTTCGTGACACAGGTGTGGGGGCACATCAGGACGTTGCAGGGGTGAAGTGAGCCCTCCAGGAAAAGCTGCTTCGTTTCTGATAAATGGATCCCACCAAGTGGGGTTTTGGGGAGGGTGTTTGCTGGAACCAAGGCCAGGCAGTAAACTCCAACTTGATGTATGCTGTCGATAGCCTGAAAAGTCACAAGAGGAAAATGAGTTATAATAGTTATTATGAGAAGACATCTAGCGAATACTCAATGCAAAATACTATCTTCTGACACGCAGAAGCACATGCAGTAGGGCATGCTCTGGTGTGAGGAGCCAAACCTCATGATGCTGTGCAGTTAGTTATATGCCGCACTTGTGGAATAACATAAACAGAGTGGAAACTGGAGAAAAGAAAATATTGTCTCAAGATCATAAAAACTCTCATTTGCTACCTTTCCAGTGAATAGCGGGAGTCAGTCTGGCAGCCACTGACTCCTGACCTCAGTGTCTTTAGCTAGTTTCCTAGAACCAAGCATGAGTCTCAAGGGTCACACCATTTCTAACCAAATGACATGAGATAGGAAGCACAGTGTAAGTGGGCAGGGTGGGCTGTGCCTGGCAGACAGCTGGGAAGCTGATGGGAAGGCAGGAGGAGCTACCTGGAGCACCCTGCTCATCCACTGGAAGCTGTCTTCCTCCGTGGAGTCCGGCCTCTGCTCGGCCACAATCACTATCCTCTCGTCGTGTAGGACGGTCACCGAAAACACTGCTATTCTGTGGGGGCAGAGAGGAAAGGCAGTGAGCAAGTGCCGGTGCTTGTGGAAGGGTCAGTTCTGCAACAAAGAGTTTTTCAGCCGCTGTGATGACAGCTCAGCAGACCACACACCCACCAGGACTTCACAAAGGCAGTGCAGTCTCAAACGCCCACACTTGTTAACTCAAGTGTCACTTGGGGAAGAGCAGAGAATGCTGCTGAGGCTGCCTGCAGGTGGACAACAGATTTCATACCTCTTAGCACAGATAGAAGGGGTTTATGTGTGGTTAACAGAACTGCTGCAATTTAGAAAACCGGACCATTCACATCTTGAGTTTGCACCTGTAAAGTAATATTCTTCTAATCAGTAGATGTTTTCTGCTTGGGAACTAACAGTTTTCTGCTGGGTTTGTGGCCTCTCATGGCAAACACAGGATGGTGACAGCTCCAGTCTCTCCGTGCCCCTTCACAGATAGGACATAATTAAAAGATAACTCCTAGGTAGCGATGCTATATTCATGTCTGCTTCTCTCACTCCGGTAGGCTTGCTGAGCTGAAATAGGTGCTGTGTCACTAATTTAATATTTACTGTGTGCCAAGCAAGGCAGGGCACACACAGGGAGAGCAAAGCAACGGGGGAGTCAGTTTTCCCACACGCCCAACCAACAGTTGTCTCTCAACTGTTATCTTCAGGCCTTTCCAAAAAAGCTGCCCAGGAGGAATTTTTGGCCCTTTCTTTGTGTAGTTATTTATCAAGAATAGTTTTTCAAATGGGTGTTTTTTACTTAGCAGGAAAGTTCATGAAAATATATGTATGCGGCTCAGGAAGTTTCCATAAAACTGGACATTCAGAATCAGATGGTATCTCAAAGGTCGCTGAGTCCAGTTACTTCACTTTATAAAAGAGGAAACGAAGCCCCATAAGTCTAAGGAAATTATGCAACTTCATATGAGGGTGTAGTCTACAGGATACTGTGTGTCTAGCCCCCAGAGGGCACACTCACCTTCCCCTGTAGACGAACTTCATGGGCTCCACCGCCAGCGCCGTGGCCACGATGTCGTCGGCATTGTGTCTACGCCCACTGACCACCATAAGCCCGTCCATCTTGCCCACCACAAAGACGAGGCCTCCAGGGCCAACGAAGCCCAGCAGGCCTGTCCTCACGAAGGGGTACTCGCTGACCGGGGCTCCCGAGCTCGTCACAGGGAACACCTGGGGACACAGGAGCAGTGAGAGCCCAACTGTCCTCCCAGCAGCCAGACCTGCATCTCTCTCTATGTCCTGACCAATCTTCTGGAGACCCAGGCTGCCATTTAGCAGACAGTCCACAGTCTGGAAGCACCTTGCCTCTACCCCCCAGCCCCAGAACTTGGTCCCCCAAATCCACAACTGGCCTCTCATGGGCTTCCTTCCATGAACTTGTGAACTTCTGAAGAGGTCATGCCCGGAGATTGTTACAATAGACTAAAGAAAGCTAATTAAATCTTTTGCTATAAAGTCATAGTACAGAAGTGATAAAGTAGAGAATCAAAGTGTATTTTAAATAACATTTTGGTTGTAAAATGATCCATGCTTGCCAAAATGCTTTTCCCCTTATTGGAACAACACTAAAAAGGAAAACAAAGGAAGCAAATCACATGAGTTCAGACTTTACACTTGTTCCTCTGGCCTTGCAGATAAGCCACACAGGAAAGGAGATGGCTGCATTTATACCACATCTAATTTCAGGGACAGTTGAGAAATTGTGCAGTGAACAAAGCTGCCTGCACAGGTGGCACATGCACATGCTCCTGTCCAGGTTCCAAATGAGAATTTACCCCGAGACAACCATGATTTGTATGTATGACATTACCCCAAAGTGCGCTCTTCTGACTCTGCAGCACTTGTAAAACAACGAAAATTCTGTCAACACTCAACTCTTGAGAGTAAACAGTGAGTTTCTTCCTTCTTACTCACAAGGCCACATATGCTGCCCACATGTGTGTGTGCATGACACACCACACCACGCCATGTGGGTAAACACATTAAGACACACCTCACAACACAAACTTACAGGGCACACACATGTGCACATGGTCACAAAATACACACCACCGTATGCAGACCACATACCATGCACAGATACCACACATGCCTGCCTGTGCCAAAGAGATGGCTCATGTTTGCTCATGGTCTACCAAGTCTGCCTGAGGCTGATAGGATACAGTGAGGGGCTTGGGGTCCCCCCAGTCCTGTGCAGCTGTTCACGTGTGCTCACATTCCTCCACCTCCCACCTGCCACCAGCTCCCTGACTAAACAGAGGCAGAGGTAAGAACAGCAATATATAAAAATGGCCCTTTTTAAAGAAAATGTCCTGTCCTTTTGACACTGCTTATAAAGTAAGAACAGTGCTGATAGCCCAAATCTATTGAAAACTATGAAAAATGACATTAGAAGGGTAACCTCTTAACTCATTTTGAATAGGTTCTCACTTTCATTTGTATTTCCCAGCACCCGGCCATGGCTGCTTGAGAAGGAAATATGGGTGGAGCACACCTCCAGGGACCTACCTCGAAGGTGTTCTTGGTCATGCCGGAGAGGCCATAGTATGACATGCCCGTGGCGATCGCGCACACACAGAGCTCCCCGATTTCATCTGTTCTACACAGTTGGGGAATCCCGTCCGGCTTCACTGAACACATGATAGCTGAAAGCAAAATAGGAAGCCAGGTAATATTAGAGGGAGAGGAAGTGAGCCAGAGGGAAAGGATGAATGAGCGAAGACAAAGGAGAACACCAATGGATGGAAACGACAGCTGGAACAAAACCACCAGCATAGGAGTGAGCCAGGTATTCATTTCCCCTAAGGAAGTCAGCATTTTTCATGTTGCAATAAAATGCTGATTTTCATAGCTGTGACAGCAATAATTCCAGTTGCTTTAATTTTGACGTGTAAATTGCATTTAAAGTGAGTAACCTCCTGCATTAGACACAAGGATGATGCTCAACTGACCCTTGGGCTGCTGGCACATATCAGCAACACAGTGTCCAGGATGCAGCTTCAACCCTGCGCCCGGCAGGTACCAGGGCTTACTCTCCAGTCTTTCAAGTTTTTCTAAACTGAAAGCAGCAGTTCAGGCTCCACTGTCCCGTAGAATTCTTAACCTTTGATCTCAAATTCCGTTTAGGTGTGTCTGTCAGAGGTTACTGCTGAGTTTCGTGATGAAGTCTCAGCACATAGTTTGGGAGGAGGGATTTCACTGTTATGCCACTAGAACACTTTGAGGCTTTCTCACCCACACCCTGGTGGGGAGCCATGTGCCACAGGGCAGCTGGAGAGTCAGTGAATGTGTGCGCCTGGTAATGGTGAGCTGATCAGGAAGGGCCGAGCGAGGGTCCCAGTCATGCTGGGCGACTGGGAAGATGATGGGAGGGGGCTGGGTCTAAGATATGCAGCCAGCAGAACCCCACAAGGAGTCCAGCTCACTCATGAGAGGAAAGTGCAAAGCAAAACTCCATGGAGCTACTCTCCACCCATCACAGTCTGATTATACACTGGGGTGAGGGAATAGAGAAAAGCCCCCCCACTAGTGGCAAGAATCAACTCTGGAAGGGTCTGAGTGTTATCAGAGTGATGTGGTCATGTACTCTTGAAACAGAAATCCTGTTTCTGGGATTTCTAGAACTTTCTTCATTCAATCATCCTCATATCTACACAGACTGAAGCACAGACGAGTTGTTTACTGCATCACACTATGGCAGCAAAATCACTCAGGAGGGTCAGTTTGCACAAGTCGTTATGTATTCAAACCCTGTATATCTCATGGTCTGGGAAGGAGACCTCTCAGAGGTGGGCCAGATTATATCCCTTGAGCAGAGGGGCCAAAGGAGTCTGAGAGGCAAGCCTGGTTTCCAGGAACAGATGCCTTGGTACTGGTGGCGCATGTGATGGGGAGGAAGTTACGCCCTGATCTAGGACTGTGCCCCTGCAGCACTGCAGGCTGCACTGTGCGGATATGCCGATCCCCTCCAAACAGAGAGGCCACATCCCTGTGCCTGTGGGCTCATGGAGAGGGAACATCCTGGTTCTGGAGAAGGGATCCTGGCTCCCTGATGGGGGAGGAGTTCAGGAACCTAAACGCTGGCACAGGTTGTGTGCTAGGGGCTGTGCTACCTGAGGAGAGGTAGGATTGAGGCAGGGTGCGGAGAGGCTTTTTCTTTGCTGAGATTCCTGGGTCCTGAGAGAGGTTGCATAGGCAGTCAAGTACATATAGCGGGTGGGAGAAGCAGGTAGATGCAGCAGCTGGCACTTCCACTGGGGCTCTTGGAACATTTGTTACCTTCAAAAAATGGGCTCTGTGGCTGAAAGCAGTCTTTACCAATAACCCAAGCCCTGTGTTGGCTTTTCAGTACAACTTTTACAAGACTCAGTACCTCTGGGATAGCTGCATGTGGGTGTCCAGGGGACCTTCAGAGGAGAAGAAAAGGCTGCTCTACAGAGTAGCTGTTGTGCCTCTAGGGAAGAGGACCTGGGCCTGGCATGCTAGAATATTTTGGGTTTTTTCTCAGCTGCTGGAATATTTTGGGTTTTTCAGAAAAGGCAGTGTAACATACAACAAAAACTGGCATTGAAGCATTATCCTGCAGGCTCACACCAGAGAAGCATGTGATGCTAGAACAGAAAGATGGCAGTGATGGTTAGGACAGGATCTGCTCATCGATTAGAACCCCGGCCACAGGCGGGTGTCCACACTCACCTCCAGGCATCACGAGGCCAACGTCCTGCACGGTGAGCACAGACAGCTTCTCTTCTGAATCCACCCGGATGACCCCGTAGGTGAGCCCATGCATGGAGAGAACACCTCGGCCCGGCGGCTGGTTGCTGTCATCTGTGGGTCTGTAACAACAGTTTGTGTCTGACCGAGCAGTCATCACACGGAAGCACAGGTCCCAACAGCCAGCCAGTGCTGGTGAACACCGGCCCAGCGGCCACACATTTCTAGCATGTCAAGGAGCACTTGCTTCTGTTTAGGGGCTGTGAGTGTCTATTGATTCTACCTCTGGGTTTCCAGCATGTTTTAAAAACACCTCATAAGTGTGAAATCAGCTCAGTGTTTCCTTAATATCCTGCTCTTCCCTTTATATACATATACCCAGCAGATTGATAGATTCAGTCCCTCTCTCTCCACTCCCTATCTCTGCAAGGTCAGATTTTCCGGTTTTGAAAATGGCTTAAAATGGAGAGTAATGTCTCCTAGAACATGATTTAGCACTAAGAGTAGAAAAGACAGTGATCTTGTCCAGTCTCAAGTTTAGAGGTGTCCTGTGAAGGCTCATGCTCACTTGTATATGTAAGGATTTGAAATTATTTGGATGAGAGACATGTTATAAGATGCTTTATTTTCAGGGGGTAAAGTACAGTTTCACCATATGCATGGTCTGTCCTTTCTGTGACCTCCACCCTCATTCACTCCATGCCAGCACCCCGCTTTGCTTCTCCTACCCAGGACTTCTGCACCATTCTTGTCTCTTCCCAGAATGTTCTTCTGGCAGGTGGCCACATTGCTCTCTCCCTCACTGTTCTCTGGGGACATATGATTCTAACATATGACTAGTCAACCTCCAGAAGCAGCATCCCCCCAAATCCTGTCTATACAGCAGGTGCCATCTGACTGTCCATGCCATGCATCCTCTATCAGAATCTAGACTTAGGGCAAGTGTTCTTCCTTTTGCTCAGTGCTCTATTCCCACTCCTGGAACATTATTTACCAGTAAATTCCTGTTGACTGAATTAGTGACAAACATTCCAAGATCATAGATTCTATCTCTGAAAACTAAAGATTTTCCAATGTGAGCTAAGTGAGAGACTCCAATTTAGGTCAACTTCACATTTGTTTGAAGTTTTCCACATACAAATGCTTAATGTAGTTTAGGATCTAAAAAGTTGGACTATACACAGATGCTTGCTGTTTGGCTCTAAAATATCATAAAGGTTTATAACAAAACTAGAAATAGAAAAGAGGAAACATAAAAGTTATAATTTGCAAAATAAGATGCCATTTGAATCAACTAACCTGGATATTTAAAAGGAAGCTTCAAAGAGTCTTGAAATGGAATTATTCTATCTAAGAATCAAAATGGGTAGAGCCAGCCAGATACAGGAGAAAACTCTGCCTATATAACATGAACCACATGGAAATGATGACCTCAGAATATAAAATCTGTATTTTTCTCTTGGCTTTTTCTTTTTGAAGACCTAAGCAAACCAAAACTTTCAAATGAAAGACAGAAAACCCTTGCAGTAATCTTCCTTCCACTGCTGCTCTACCAGATAAGGCAGATGTCATAGTCTTAGTGTTTGGGGAACCATGTCTCCTAATGTTTAGATGCACTTCAAACTCAGGGCGCCCTGAGTATGAACTTACTGGGAAATAGGGTTTGTATAGATGTTCCTAGTTAAGATGAGGTCATTCTGGAATAATCACCCTGAAAGAGGGTATGTCCCAAATACAATGAACTGTGTCCTTAAAAGAAGAGAGAAAAGAGATGCAGGGAGAAGCTGGAGAGGCAGGGCTGGGGCTGGGAAGGCATCCACAGTGAAGGATGCCAAGGACCAGCAGCTCCAGCACTGGAGACACCAACCCTAGAATTCAGACTTCTAGACTGTCAGAGACACATTTCTATGATATCACACTTCTATGATACACACTTCTAAGAAAATATCTGAAAGGACAATCTCAGGGGAGGGATCCATTATCTGAGTAATAGGATTTCAAGCTACAGTTATTTTTATTTTAAAAAACCAAATGAAGAAAAATGCTGGACTACTATGACATATCCCAAGTACACAAAGATTCGAGAACACTGATATGTGGTGACTCAGAAGTACTGTCAATGAGAAGCCCAGAGAAAAGCATTCTCCTAAGGTCCAACAATGTACAGTCTGTTGTCTCAATCCCCAAATCCTCTTTGCTAAGCTTAACAAGCCTAAGAAAAGTGAATTGTGAGGTGAAAAGGAAGCAAGACTTCTGACAATCAAACATCTTGCTATTATGAACTGTGCTTGTTATAGGAAATTTCATCTATGTTTATAAAATAACTGAAGGATAAATACACTCACTCAGAACATGCACTGACATCACAATTCCAATACTTTAATCAACAATGATACATTTACACTGAATAGCATTCCTGGCTAGTCAGAGCAAACCCAGACCCCCGGGGTCTTTTCTTTCCAGAATTTGAAAAAAATGCATGCAAAAATTCAGATTAGGGGCAGGGGGAACTGAGACACAGTATTTGGCCTTGTTACCCTACCTCATCACAGATGGCAACATTGTCAGTTCAATCTCTCAAGTTTTCAGTAAGGCCAGCTATTGCCATATTGCACTGAGCCCTTTACACATAGTGACTCAGTCCAAAAAAAAAAAAAAATCTATGCAAGCGCTATAAAAAAATTAAAAAAAAAAAAATCTATGCAAGTCTCCCATTTCACAGGTGAGAAAAATAAGGCACAGCTATGTTGCCTACATGAGTAGCAGAACTGGTGGGCCTCTGTCCCCCAGCAGAGCTTACATCCAGTCAGAGCCCCCCATAGCACCAGAACCATTCCTGCATTCTCCTGTCTCTAGCCCAGAGCCCCCCATAGCACCAGAACCATTCCTGCATTCTCCTGTCTCTAGCCCAGAAAACTGAGGTCTTTTAGTTCATTGTACAATTTTCTTTTTATGAAATTAAAAAAAAATGATGAGTAACCCATGAGTATAGCATTTATATGGACAAGTCAAACCCATATGGGAAAATATACCAAAAGGTAAGATTCTTGCTGGCTTTCCACACTCCAGGCCTCCTTGCTGCCCACAGGGGCACTGTCAACACTTCTCAGTGAAGTCCAGGGCTTCTTGACACTCATCTACATTCAAGCACGTGCATGCTTGAATTTATACTCAAAGATATCACCAGAGCACTGTGCACATTCTTGTGCAACTTACTTTGTTCAGCAAATTTATGCATCCTTCCATGTGAGTGTGTGCATGTGTGTATGTGAACATACATGTATATGTGCTGAACATGACAATGAGTCACCCTGCTTTTAAAACTGAGATGAAGTTGACATACAATGAATTAACCTTTAAAAATTTTGGATGGTTTTCTATGATATGAATATAAAGTCATTTATTTTATTCAACTTTTATACAGTGTGAAATATTACTGTAAAATACATATTTAGAAAAGGAATGGAAGAATCAATTTAAAAAGTAATACAATTAAACTTTTAACAAAGCCTAAACACCTTCCAAAGGGGAGGTATTATTTTATATTCTCACTGGTAATATCCAAGTATCATTATTTTTTCATTCAGTAGACATGTACTGCATGGGAGTTATCACCTGCTTTCCTTAGCCGCTTGTGATATGAGCTGTGTCTAGTCTTCACAGCAGCCCCATGAGATGGGCATGCTTATTCCCCCCACCTTCAGGGAGGAAGCGGGCAGGAGGGGTAGATCATGGCCACATGGACTGTCAGCACAGTCGTGCTGTCACTGATCATCACACCTTACATTTTCCCAATTTGATGAGTACAGTATCATTCCTCATTGCTGTTTCAATTTGCATTCTCTGGTTATTTCCCAAGTCATATTATCTGTATCTGCATTAATACCATGCTAGGAAACAGAAAATCGAGATCAATTTGGTGAGGTAAAGAAATGAAAAAATAATGCCAATAAGCAGAGTTCCCACGGATTTGAAAACCATGTATTTTACTAATCAATAAAAGTAAATTAAAACTGGTGAAGCCAGCTGTGGGCCCATGTGTGACCTTCCAAGTACCAGTGAGGACAAGCAGAGCCCTCACAACCACGCAGCACAGAGAACAGGTGCAGAGGAGCCACATGCAGCTTCAGGAGAGTGAGGAGACGCCTTTACACTTACAGACTCAGAAGAAGAAAATACACAACTACATGAGGCCAGTGCTGCATTGGCAGGCAAGAGGGAGAAAGACCAAAACTAAAAGATGAGGAAAGAGGAAGGTAAGGTGTACGGTCAGCTTCCAAGATGCTCTGGATGGCAATGCCTTCCACTGCACAATCTGCACCCACAACCGGCGAGCTCAGGCATTTCCAGCTGCTGCCCAACATCAGATAAGCCTTTAGCTAAGCACGCTGTGTCACACCTTAAGAAACAGCTCCTATAACTCTCAGTTAAAACTTCCAGTTGGCTAATGCTGACACACACAGCCTGGCCAGGCTCAAATATGCATTAATGAGAAATGAATGGAGTTGAGTAACAGCAGTTAGGACAATTTCCACCCCCCAGGACTTAATAGAGGAAAATCAAATGTATCTACAGAGCTCTTCTGCCACTGTTACCACAGAGCTCACTGCAGGGGAAAAGCAAAGCCCTCTTTTCTTCATCTGATGCAGGTGACTGAGCTCTACACCAATACTTCTCAGCGCAGGCACAGCAGCACGCCTGGGTGGCAGAGTGGCTAGTCATAGGTAACCACACTTTCCTTCTTATTTCAACAGCGTTTATCACAGCATCTCCACATGAGATCATCACAGAACGACACACACATAGGCATGTGCACATCTATGCCACGGAGGTGATCACAGTAGCTCTGACATTCAGCTAGCAGCTACCACCTGTGCAGTGCAGGTGTCTTTAGGGCTCTCCCTGCACTACTGCATCTGTGGTCACACACCGGCTGTGGACACTGCTTCCTGTCAGCAGACCAGGACTTGGCCTCAGGACTCTGAGGCCAAGAGGTTAAGCATTGGTCAGTTACAAAGCCAGCAAGAAGACACCTGAAATGAGCATATAAACAGACACATGTGAATGCACAGATGAAGACAGATACACTCAAACACAGGCAGACATGAATACAAACACAGGC